GGGACCTGAGTTCAATTCCACCCTTGGGTGACTGTCTGTCTGTGTCAAGTTTGCATCTTCTCCCTGTGTCTCTGTGGGTTTTTGCCGGGTGCTCCTGTTTCCCCCCCCTCAGTCCAAAGATATGTAAGTTAAGTGGACTTAAGATGGTAAATTGCCATAGTGTTCAGGGATGGGTAGGTTAGGTTTCTGCTGAGCGCTTCAGTTTCCTACCACAGTCCATGTACATGTTAGGTGGACTGATTGACCATAGTGTTCTGGGATGCGTAGGTTAGATGTGTTAGCCATGGGAAATGCAGGCTTACAGGGCTAGGGTAGGAGGATGGATCTGTGAGATACTGTTTGGAGGGTCGGTGTGCACTCATTGGGCTGAATGGCCTGTTTCCACACTGTAGGGGTTCTATGGATGTCTGCACATGGCAATCAAATCATATGATCTTTGAGCAGTATTTATTATAAACTCTCCATCCCCTAAAACAGAGATTTCTGTTTGTCCTTAAAGAAGAATGTTTAATATATAACTATCTTATGAAGCCTTGTATTTGAAACGGGAAATACTGATCATAATCTTTGAATCCCCCTTTAATTATAAGGTCATGCCAGAGAATTGGAGAATTATAAAATGTTATGCCCTCCTTCAAAAAACTGGAAGTTACTGTCCAGTCAGTTTTAAGATTAGTTCTAGGACTGTTTTTAGAAATGATAAAGGAATAGAATTAACAGTCACTTGGAAGTAGTAGGTTTATTAAGGGAAAGTAGCACTGATTTGATTAAAAGCAAATCATTTAATTTGATTGTATTTTCTGAGGTACTGAGATGTTGATGGAGTTACCAAAGATGTTTGATAAAGTGTAGTGTAATAGGATTACCACTAAGTTGAAATAAATGGAACAAAAGACAGTGGTGAGATTGGCGCAAAGATTGCTGAATAATATGAAACAAGGAGAAGTGATGACTATTTGATTTTGGACCGGACGAGGGTATACAGTGAAGTAGCTAGAGACTCAAGTCACTATTTTCCTTGATTATGTGTTAATTACTTGCTTCCACAAGTCTACGCTATACACTCAAAATATCTAGATGATATTATGAACCATGAGCAGGATAATGAAAGACTTCAAGAGAACAGACGGTGGTGGAATGCACAGAGTCTTGCCAAGTCATTTTAACTTCAAATGTGCAGTAATACATTGCAATAAGAACAAAAAAATGGAACATTACAAAAGTAGTAGAAACTTAGTTTTTGTTCATAAATTATTGAACTTGACAGACTCCCATTTGAGAGAATGGTTAAAAGTATTTGGGAATTATTTGTTGGTTTTCTAAAAAGGTGGAGCGTAGGAAAGCAGAGGAGTTAATTTCTGCTTCAACTGGAGTATTGCGTCCAACTCTATCGCTTCTTAGTAGGAATGTGGAAGGTTGAGAGGGCTCAAAATGTTTGGGAATACCTCTAGGGATGATAGGCTTAAAATTATTTGGATAGATTAGAGAAACTGGGCAGCAACAAGAAACTTGCAAGGAGATTGCTACAGGTGTTAAAAAATTGAGTCAGATGGGTAGAGGGAAACTGTTCCCATGATGGAAAGCTCAAGAGCCAGAGGGCACTGATGTAATTTGATTGGGAAATAAATCAACTTCAGCATGAGGAATATTTTTTATGTAATGAGATGTTCTGTATGAGTGTGGTAGGAGCCAATTCAGTCCTGGAGTGCAGAAGATACAGGACTAGCTAAGTTCCAAGCATGGACACAGCTGTTGAATGGCCTCTTTCGATGTTGTAACCAAGCTAAAAATTCTTTGAACTAACTCCAGGATTTCATGTAGTGAAGACCTTTGTAACCTGTTATATTTTTTGCTTTGTAGTTAGATCTGAGATATCTTCATTCTGGATGGCCTGCAAGTGAAATTTTTTTTCCCATATGGTTTAAGAATTAAAGTCTGGGAATGGTAAATTTCATGTATGGCCATCCGATAGACACGATTATCACAAATTTGCTGACTCATTTATTTTTGTTCCGCTTTGTGGTATATTGGCTAATAATTCAAATACAGCAATAGAATGATCGAGGCCATTGCTGCTTTGAAAATTTGGAGTAAACTAAACGTGCCTAGGTTTTGGAGCTTCATTGGGTAGATTTGCTATTTCTGCAGTAATTCTAGAGCTTTATGCCAGTGCTATTTGTCCTCACGATTTAATTTGGCTTGTCATCTCTTTTCCTTGTATGTATTGCTTATTATTCTATCCTGTTTTCTACTTGAATCTCAAGTTCTCTTCTAGGTCTGAAGCGTCAGCCATCCTGCTCCTCTGATGCTGCTTGGCCTGCTGTGTTCATCCAGCTCTACACCTTGTTATCTCAGATTCTCCAGCATCTGCAGTTCCTGCTATCTGTGAGACTATGTAATTGTGTTTCTCTCCCTGTTTGAAAACAGTTAACCATACAAGTAAACCATGAGGGCACATAAAGGAAAGCTGACAGAATGCCCAAGGAATTAGGAGTAGTGTGCCAATCTCTGCAAGCTTTACGCATAATTTTGTAATGACAAAATATTCACATGACTTTCATTGGACTTCTGAAAGCCTTATTTTGTAATACTTCACTTCTTCAAAAATTGTTTTTTTTAATCAACCCCTGTCTGAGAATGATGGTTTAGTGGTCATTGAACAATATTACAATGCCAGCTCACTCAGATAATGGTATTGAGTATGTAACTGCATTGTACTTGAATAACCTATCGCTGAGTTGTTGGTGAGACCGCAGTTGGAATATTGAGTATAGTTTTGGTCGTCCTGCTACAGGAAAGACTCAGCTAAACTGGAAAGTGTGGTAAAAGAAGATTTAAGAGGATGTTGCCAGGACTAATAAGCCTGAGTTACAGGGAGAGGTTGGCCAAGATAGGACTTTTTCCTTGGAATGTAGGAGAAAGAGGGGTAGCCTTATGGAGATGTATAAAATCACGAGGGGCATAGATAGGATGAAAGCATATAGTCTTTTTCCCAGGGATAGAGAATTGAAAACTAGAGGGTATAAGTTTAAAGTGAGAGGGGATAGATTTAAGAAGAACCATAGGGGGGCGAGTTCTTCACACAGAGAATGTGTATATATGGAATGGGCTGCCAGAGAAAGTGATTTAGGCAGGTACAATAGCAACATTTAAAAAACATTTGGATAGGTACATGGATGGGAAGGTTGAGAGGGATATGGACCAAATGCAGGCAGTTGTTACTAGCTGAGTGGGCACCCTGGTCAGCATGGACCAGTTTGGGTCAAAGGGCCTGTTTCCATGCTGTATTACTTGAAGACTCTATGACTATTTAGAGGAAGTTAGGGGTTTAATGGAAGTATTCAAGATTTCTGGAGGAGGCTGGTGAAATTCTGGTCCACGCATCATCTATGAAGAACACACATTTTCTTTCATTCTTGGGTTGTGGGCATTGCTGGCTAGACCTGTGTTTATTGCCCTTCCCTATTTGCCCAGAGAACAGTTAAGAGTCAATCACATTGCTGTGGGTCTACAGTCACGTGTAGGCCAGACCAGGTAAGGGTGACAGTTTCCTTCCCTGAAAGGCATAAGTGAGCCAGATAGATTTTTGCAATAATCAACAGTAGCTTTTTAGACATTATTAGACTAACTTGTGTTTGGGTACAGATTTTTATTGAATTCAGATTTTGTACTCTACCACCGTGCAATTCAAACCCATGTCTCCAGAACATAAGCATGGGGTTCTGGTTACTAATCCAGTGACTTTACCACTATGTCACTGCCTCCCTTAATGTGTACAGTGGGAGATGATATTTCAGGCAGTGGATTATTGCCATCCATTGATAAGCTAGGTCTTGCATTTATATAGCACTTTTCATATCTAAGGGATGTCTTGAAGTGCTGTGCAGCCAGTGAAGCACTCTTGCAATATAGTTGTTATTGTAATGTAGAGAAATTCAGTAACGTTTTGCAAACGGCAAGGTCCCACAAATAGCACAAAAATGTACAAATCTTTTCCCAGTGATGTAAGGTGACAGGCAAATATTGGCTAAGCCACCAGAGGGAACTCTGCTGTCCTTCAAGATAGCACCATGAGATCTTTTGTCTGCACCAAACAGCGCAGGCCCTTGGTTTATCATCTCATTCAAAAGGTGGCATTATTGACAAGTGTAACACTCCCTTAATACCACACCAGAGTGCTAATCTAATCTAATCTCTCAATTCAAGTCTCAAACATCTGACCTGTGAATGTTGCCAATTGAACCACAGCTGAGACTGTTAGGTATTAGTGTTAAAATGTTTTGTTGCCTTTAGTAGTTTTGGTTTCACACTCTTATACGCTAGTCTTAGAGTGTTCTCATCACTTTTGTCTCCAGCTCAAAAGTCGTACTGCTCTTCAAATCTTTTGCCCTTGGATTCCCCGTTACTGTTCAGTGTTCATTTTCCTGTGAACTGTGTTTTAGATATTTTCCTATGTTAACAGCCCCTTGCAACTGTAATTATTTGAGACAATAACTGCATTTAAGAAGGAATTAATTAAATGAATGAAGACAGAAAATATTAAAGGGTGCAGGGTAGAGCTGGGAAACTGAGCTCCAGTAAGTGATTGATGTGGTACTAGCACAGTGAACCATATTGACCTTCTTCTGTACAGAAAGTTCTATGATTCTAATCTCTGCTAAATAAAGAAATCATCCGGTGATCTTGTTGACTTCTAAACAAAATTAAAATTGGAAAATGTTGAACTTCCTTTCCTTTATCGTTTATGGAGCTTTTTATTTATATCTTGACCTTTGTGGTAAATTCTGAATAGACACAATAGATGCAAATGCTTCTCAATGCAACATGTGTGGGAAACTGGTCCCCTGCCACTGTATACTGGGTAGGTCAGTTGCAAGCTATAGTTCATGAGGTGTACATGGCTGTTGACTTTCTCTGGGTTGTTCTGTTATTTTCCCAGGCCTTGGAAGGAGAACGTTTATGCAGCTTTCCCTTCGCTTCCATCACAAAGTTGGCCAGGGGAGGGATGGCGATTTGAAGATGTATTTATTCTTTAGTTTGGAAACCCCTTTCTCCCACCCCCACTAAGAAAATGCTCTTTATTCTGGTTTGTTTGTACAGTCATGTGTAATTGAATTTAGTTTTTCATCAACTGCTGTCTTCTCAGGCCTGCGGCTCTCTGTGGTTCTCACTTCCTTCTTCATGATGACCGGTGCGTTGCTGAGATGTATTCCCGTAGATAACCAAACAGTCAAGAAATGGTAGGTATCATTGGACTGGACAAATTGGGACTGAATGGTAGAGAATTAGCTATTTGTATAATTCTGCTAAGACACCTGTACGGTTCTGAAGAAAGGTCACTAGACCAGAAATGTCAACTCTGATTTCTCTCCACAGACGCTGCCAGAACTGCTGAGATTTTCCAGCAATTGTTTGATTTGTTCTGCAACTGTCTTTTTAGAAGATTTGTGTAAAGCATCAGTGCATAATAATTTGATGCAGACCTGCATCTCTATTAAGAGTGTGTGGCTCGAGACAAGATCTTTGTATTGTGGCATTGGTTCTGTATACATAACTGCCATGATAGGTACAGAGTGATCCTTTCTAGGTCTCATCCAGATATATTTTCCCACGTTGACAACTTAACGCAAAGAGTACCTGTACGTAATCATAGAACACTTGTAAACCTCAAAGGAAGTCTGACCATTTTATGTAATTCAGTGTTTAAGTGTATCCCCGGAAGGTTACAGCGAATTCATTCAAAATAAAGTAGCATCAAAAATACCTCGTGAACATTGGAGTGTGATCTGATACATGCTTTCAAAGAGACTGAGCTAGAGTCGTCAGCATTGAAATATCACAAGTTGAGCACAGAAGTAAGCAGTATTTTTTTCCGGAAATCACATAGAAAATAATTTTTATTTTAAACTGGCAAACTTTAACTGTGTGCTACGGGTTCAAGTTTAATGTGAAAGGATTTTAAAGTGTATTTATATCTCCTTGTAAACTAACAGGAATTTATACAATTTGCACATTGAAATGCAAAAGGTCTCTGTTTGCTTTTGTGAAAAGAATGCTGTTAAACGTCACTGATTTTCAGAAAGAAATCAATGATAGATATCCCTTTCAATTGTGCACACGAGTGCAGTTGAAAATTTCTGTCATCGTTTAACCTATGGGATTATTGATACTTAAATAAATTTATGAAAGCAAATCTGTTGTATGAAATAAAACTGCATTATGTTGGACATTTCTTGGATTTGACCAAAATCATTAAAGTTTAAGTACTACATTTTGACCACTTAATGCCTTGTGTAATCTTAAGCCTAAACATGATTGATTTTATGACTTGCCTAATGAGCCTAGCTGGTACTATTTCTTAAGTTTTGTTTTATTTTTAATTGAAGTTAACTACCTTGCATTTCCTCCTCTAAGGATCACTAGGGAGAATTGGAAAAATGCTGACTGCAGTGCATATGAAAGTAATGGCAGGAAGATCTGTTAAACATCTAAAGAGCATTAGTGCTTAACAGGTTTGGAGGATTACTGCACTATAAAGAAAAATCTTAGAGGTTAAATGGGACAACAGTAATGGCAGTCCCCTTGAGCACACTAAAATTTTAAGTTGAAGTTGGGCTGAGTGGTGTTATGATTTGGGCAGAATAGCAGAAGACGAATATGTTCCAAGAGACCACAAATATCAGATCATGGCCTGGAATTTGCTCTGGTGATGAATCAGTTCAGACAGCTGTTTTAGACTTGAACTGTTTCCTGGGTCAAACTTGATGATGAAGGCAGCACACTCATACAGTCATAGAGATGTACAGCGTGGAAACAGACCCTTTGATTCAACTCGTCCATGCCGACCAGATATCCTAAATTAATCTAGTCCCATTTGCCAGCACTTGGCCCATATTCCTCTAAACTCTTCCTATTCATGTACCCGTCCAGATGCCTTTTAAATGTTGTAATTGTACCGTCCTCCACCACTTCCTCTGGCAGCTTGTTCCATACACTCACCACACTCTTGAGTATAGGAGTTGGGAGGTCATTTTGCGGCCACTTTTGGAACAGTATGTTCAGTTCTGGTCTCCCAGCTATAGAAAAGATGTGAAACTTGAAAGGGTTCAGAAAAGATTTACAAGGATGTTGCCAGGGTTTGGAGCGTTTAAGCTATACGGAGAGGCCAAATAGGCTGAGGCTATTTTCCCTGGAGCGTCGGAGGCTGAGGGGTGACCTTAAAGAAGTTTATAAAATCATGAGGGGCATGGTTATGGTGAATAGCCAAGGTCTTTTTCCCAGGGTAGGGAAGTCCACAACAAGAGGGCATAGGTTTAAAGTGAGAAGGGAAAGATTTAAAAGGGACCTAATGGGCAACTTTTTGATGTATTCTTCATTTAGAAGTCCAACTAGAGCATCAATTAAAGAATCCTGAAGCACCCCACATGTTTATAATTGCAAGATGAGCAAATGGCTCTGAGTGAGCTGCGACTACTGTTGAAGCAGCTGGGGTCAGAAGAGTAGGCATGGCCACATCCTCTTAAACAATCAACACCATCAGTTGTCTTGGTGTTGATGCCTTGTTTATCTCATCCCCTCTGTGGATGTGCTTCTTGTCAGCAGCAACACTGAATTGGAAAAGCAAAGAAGTTGGCTCATTTCATTGACTATTGTGCTGCCATTTTATTAAAGCTGAACAATCAGGGGCTGAAATAAAGGAATGGGAAACCTCTGCCACAAGGTACCGGGCCCGTATGCATTAATAGACCTTTTCTGTTTGTTTACCATGGAGGTCAGTCGCTGAACATATTCGCAAAAGACTGCCAATGTACTTCTAACAAAATGACTACAAGAACTATTTAAAAACAAACTCACAATGATTATCAGCAAAATTTAGCTGTTACCACAAAATAACCTTACTGACACCCCAACCCCAATGAAGGGTCATCCCTATCTCTCAATAAATCTTCTTGTTCAGCAAATTTCTGTGCAATCCATTCCATTATCCAGATTGTTAATGAATATTGAGAATAATTGAGGCCCCGAGACAGATCCCTGCAGGGCACCACTAGTCACATCCTGCCAATTTGAATACTTACCCTTTATTCCAATGCTGTTTCCTGCCACTCAACCAATTTCTTGTCCATGTCAGTAATTTGCCTTCAGTTCCGTGGGCTTCTACCTTAGATGACAATCTCTTGCGTGGGACTTTCAAAAGCCTTTTGGAACTCCATACAAACATCCATTAACTTACCTATGTCCACCATCTCTGTCGCTTTTTCAAAGACAGCTTTGTCAGGCATGGTCTACCCTTTGTGAATCCATGCTGACTCTCCCTGGTTAACGGAAAATTTTCAACATGATCATTTACCCTATCCTTGATTATAACAACAATTTTTCTATCACAGATGTCAGGCTAACTGGTCTGTAATTCCCTGGTTTCCCTGTGTTATCCTTCATAAAGAGCAGAGTGGCCTGAGCAAATTTCCAATCCAGAGGTACAAACCCACAATTCAGGGAACTCTGAAAGGTTATGTTCAGGGCATTGACACCTGTGGATGGAAACCATTAGGTCCTGGTGATTTGTCACTCTTCAGTTCCATTAATTTCCCTATTATTGAAGATTTATTTAAGCAAATTTTATTTAAACCCTGTCCCTGATCCTCTGTTAATTTCTTTGAAGCTTGCAGCAAGCTATCCTCCTTATCTGCTGTGAATATTGAAGCAAAATACTCATTCGTCGTGGCTGCCATTTCCCCGTGGTCTTTGACATTATCCTTACTCTCAGCCTTCGGTGGACCATTCTTAAACAGCCACTTTCCCTCTATATAACTGTAAAATATCTTCTTATTGTCTTTTATGTCCCTTTGTAAGTTTCTTTCCATTACCCTTCTTAGCCACTTTTATAGGCTGCTTTGTGGCCCTTTCGTGGTGTTTGCGTTTGTCCCACTCTGTGGAATCTGTACTGTTCTTTGAATTTTTATAAGCCCTTTCTTTTAATTTTATGCTGCCCCTTACCTCCTTAGATGTCCATGCCCTCTTTTTTTGTGAGGTGGAGCTTTGCCTTCTGATGGGTGCAAACTGCTTCAGAATAGCATTAAAAGTTTTTTTTTTAAACACCCTCCACTGTTTTACCTATTAGTAGAAACCATAAGATGTGCAACAGAATTAGGCCACTTATTGGATTGAGTCCGCTCCACCATTCAATCATGTCTGATATGTTTTTCAACCCCATTTTCCTACCTTCTCCCCATAACATTTGATCCTCTTAGTAATCAAGAACCTATCCATCTCTATCTTAAGTACATTCAATGACTTGTCCTCCAGAGCCTTCTGCAGCAGTTAGTTCCACAGATTTACCAGCATCTGGCTGAAGAAATTGCTTATCTCTGTTCTTCCTCATCTCAGAGGTTCCCATATTACTGGGGCAATTTCTGCTTCATCACATTAAAGCCTGCCTTACTTCAATCCAAAATTCTACTATCTGGTAAATGCCAACACCTAATATGACAGCCATGGCTCAGTCTCTTACAAACGTAACTCAAAACTTGGTCATGTTATGATCACAACTTGACAAATGCTCACAAACAACTAGGTCACTAACTAAATCAGACTCATTGCTCATTATTAGATCTAATATTGCTTGTCCCCTTGGCGCAGCCAAGACACATTGCCGTAGGAAACCATCCCAGACACTAGAAATTCATAACCTCTCTGGCAGGTGCTTGTCTATCTCTTCCAGTCTGTGTTAAGATTAAAATTAAAATTAAGATTAATACATAGTTGCCTAATTTTAACATTAATGCAATCTAGCACTTCTGAGCTGCTACCAAGTGGTCAATATATTGAACTTATTGTGGTTTTTGTTCCTTTACAGTTTTTCAGTTCCACCCATAAAGTCTCCACTGGGTCCTTTGCCTTTATTACATCTCCATCTCCATAGAATAGATTCTGTTTCTCATCAGTAATGCTACTTCATCCCCTCTCCCATCTTCTCTGTCCCTCCTGGCAACTTTATAATGTGGAATCTTTATTTCTCAGTCCTGATCATCCAGCAACCATGTCTCCATAATGGCTACTATATCATGGTTTCCGATTTGAATCTGTACCTGCAGCTCATTAATTTGTTCCTTACACTCCGTGCATTTGTATAAAAAAACTATAATTTTGTCTGTACACACTGTCCTGTCTTTCAGCAATTTTTATTATTTCTCCCTCCCTGCTTACTAAGTACACTTTTTATAGTCCTGCCTTGTTCATTAAACTGGCCTTGCTTGCTCATCCTTAACATCTACTTTCTTCTCACATTCTGATCTTCTGCTCCGGTTCCCACTCCCCTGCCACACTGTTTTAAACCTTGGCACGAGCAAACTTCCCACAAGGATGTTTGTATCCCTCCAGTTTAGGTGCAGCCTGCTGTTTTTGTGCAGGTCCCACCTGCCCTGGAAGAGATCCCAATGATCCAGATATCTGAAGTCTCCTTCCTCCACCCACCCCCTTGGTCACATTTTCTGCTATCCTGTCTTCCTCTTTCTGACCTCACTAGCACGGGGAGTAATCCCAAGGTACAGCTCTTGAGGTGGTACTTTTTACTTACCGCCTAACTCCCTAAATTCCTTTTGCAGAACCTTACCTTCTTTCTTGCCAATATTGTTAGTTCCAATATGGACCACCTTCCACCTTTAAGTATATCCTGTACCCACTCAGTCATCCTTGACCTGAGCACCAGGACACACCATTTTGGAGCCCTGTCTGCAGCCGCGGAAACACCTAGCTACTGTCCTTGATTAATCCTTGCTTCTGCAAGTGGAGATTAATTCTGTTGCTAACAATTTCTTCTAGTAGTTTCCCTACCACAGATGTTAGACTGTCTTGCCTGTAGTTTCTTGGTTTATCCTTGATGTCCTTCTTGAATAATGGTACCATATCAGCTGACCTTCAATTCTCTGGCACCCCTCCTGTGGCCAGAGAGGATTTAAAAATTAATAACAGAGGCCCTGCAGTCTCTTCCATTTCCTCCTCCCATCTCTTCCATTGCCTCCTCCCTTACCTGGCATGCTATCATGAGGGCCTGGGATTCATCCAGTTCTTAGCCTGTTGATACCTCCTCTTCTCATCTGTTCAAGTATATCACAGTTCCCTCCCTGATTTCTGCACTGACATTGTCCTTCTCTGTAGTGAATGCAGATGCAAAATACACATTTTAAAAAAAAGTCAGCTGTCTTCTGGCTCTGACAATGTTCTACTTTGATCCCTAATAGGCCCTATACTTTCCCTGGTTATTCTCCTGCCACCAGTATACTTTGATCTCACCAAAGCCTTTTGCTTCTGAAGTATTCTTCTAAACAGTTCAGGACTTCTCCCTAGCACTGTCCACACTCCGTTTTAGAACCTACTGCTAACAGCTTCTCTGTGAGAGACCTCTCCCCTCTGAATGAACCTGTTTCCAAGTTGTTTAACTCAAATCAACAAACACTTCAATTATTGCTCCAGGTAGTTTGCTAGTCATTTAGCTAAAATCTCATGGTTTCTTGGAAATGCAGTTTTTAAAGCTTCCTTTCTTAGGTACTTTCTGACCCTTCTACACAAAAAGTTATATCTTTACAATTGGAAAGTGAAATCCCTTCTTCCTGCACTTAAGAAGCTAAGTTTCCAAATTAGCCTCTATCACAAGGAAAGGACACTGAGGTCTACCAAAATTCTTTTACGGCTAATATTTTCTTCATTAGCAGGAGACTGAATTTTGAATGAGAAGGTACACTCCCAAAATTGGATTTCCCTTTACTCTGAAATTCACTACATCCGCAGTTGTACCAGCATTTAATGTACTCAACTTCTCCTCAGTTCTGCAACTGTCAGTTCTCTCATTCCTTTAATTCTAGAGACTTGAATTCCTGATTTTAATCACTCCTCTCTGTCCCGTCTCTGTGGTCGCTCTGTCGGTCTCCCTCAGTCCCTCTCACACTCCCTCCCTTTCACCCCCCACCCCTCCTCTACCTGAGTTATTTACCACCTGACTTTATTATTAGGGAAAGGAATTTGCTGTGGCAAGTGGTCATTTATTGCACAAATTTGCTTGAACGTCAGCATTTTTGCTGTTGCAAGGACAGGGTCAGCAATTACCTTGCAGCTGGGTAAGTCTGGAAGTTCACATGGCACCTGGCAATCACAGAAACTGTTCTTTCAATTGTCAACTGCTGTCTGAACCTATGGTGGTATTCTAATCCTCTTGGCAACTGTGACATGTGAATCAGAATTTCAAACATATGAAGGAATTACTACCATTCTGCAAATTTATACTGGCAAGGTTTGATGACACTACTATTACGTTTACTACTTTCCTGAGGAATTCCATAAACTTGGTACTTGACATTGTGAAATGATTGTTACATGCTAGAATGGCATCTGGGATAAGAGACTTCATCATGTGAAGGCATGGGAAAAACTGGGTTATTCTCTGAATGGAAATTTGAGGGAGAGCAGTTAGATTTAATGTTCAAACTTTGGTAAAAGTACTACAACCACGTGCTTGCATTTGTATAGCATGCTTAATATGATAAAACACCTCGAGCTGTGTCACAGTAGTGTTACAAAGTGAGAAGTTTACACCAAGTCCAAATGTTAGGGCAGATGATCAAAATCTTGAGATTTTTGAGATACGAAAGATTTCAAAGGAACACTTCAGAAGCAATAGATGTAGGGAGGGAAATCCAGACCTTATGGCCTAGGCTGCTGAAGGCATGGCTGCTACTGATGGAGTGATTAAAATTGGAGTGCTTAAGAGTCTTGAACTGGAATAAGTCTACCTAGGAGTATTGTAGATGCGGAGGAGATTACTGAGGCAAAGAGGAGTGAGGCTGCAAAGAGATTGAAAACAAGGTTTGGAGTTTTAAAATTAAAGTATTTAGCTGCAACCCAATGTAGGTCAACAAGCAAAGTGGATAGTGGATGAACAGGACTTAGTGCAAGTTAGGATATGAGCAGTAAAGTGCTGGATAAAGTCAAATTTATGAAGCATTGAATGAGAAATCAGCATCAGCATAGTCAAGTCTAGGCTCATGAATATGGGTTTCAGCAGCAAATGAGTTGAATTAAGTATGGAGTTGAGCAATGATATTGAAATGAAAATAAGTCATCTTTGTACTTGATGTGACTATTTGATTGAATTTGAATCATTTCTAGGTCAGATATGACACCAAGATTGCAAATTGTATAAGCCAGGACAAGACAGTTACCAGGGAGAGGGATGGAGCTGATCAGGGTTGGTCATGGAGACCTGTTTCTGTTGGCAGAGCATGTAGTTTGTGTCCCCTACTGAGTTATAGTCTGGAATGTACTTTCTGAAAAGATGGTTGAAGTTGATTCACCAGTAACTTCCAAAGAAGACTGGGAACAGTACTTAAAAGAAGCATTTGCACAGCTGCAGTGAAACAGCAAAGGGGCTCAAACTACTTGGTAGTTCTTTGAGACCATAGGCCTGAAGGACTGAATGGTCGCCTCTTGGGTTCTGTTTTCAGTCCTTGTGATGATTCCATTTTGGATTACAAATTGCACTGCAAACAAAAAGATAAGAATTTTGCCTCTCTTCGGGGGCAATAATATGTCATTGGTTAATCAATCTATTGAGATGTTCTAATTGCAAGAACAGGGTTCCTTTTCTCTTTGAATAGCTTGAAATGAAATGTCAGTGGTACCTGGCATTGTGTTCCTCAGCAATGCCGTACTGTAGTGTACTGTGTTCTGTCAGCTTTGTTTTGATCACTACTGAAGTAATCTACTGATTTGTCAAAGTTTTGTCAGTGAATTTAAAGCATTATTGAGTTAGTATTTTGTTCGGGCTGACAGCTGCAATTGTCCTGGCAGACTAGGGACGTCTGTGAAGCCTTTTGAAAGTGTTCTTGGCGCTGTGCAACATGAAATGCTTCCAGGAAGACACTATTAACTGTTTGACTTGACAAAGGCAGCTTCAGCAAATGGGCTTTCTTAATTCAGCGCACCGTGTCTTCTTGTCTTTTACCAATGATTTCCTTCACTGTTGCAAGAGTGAACACACTGCATAAGACACCAGAACTGTCTGATGAATAGCTCATCCTGACTCAACTAGATTGGAACACCTTTGGGCTTTAGTCTGCGAGTTATTCATCACTTCTCCTGATTTCAAGGTTTGCTCCATAGATGAGTTCATTCAATTGGAATAGCCTTTGTTCTAATTTCACATGTCTTTCATTTTAATTTATTGAAAATCTGATTCTTGAAAGCTCTTCTGAATAACTTTCATTGACATTGAATGCATGGGTAAATATTTGCATCTATTCACTGCTGTAATTTTAATTTTATTCTTTTAGGTTGATCCATATTGGACAGCTGCTCAATGGATTTGCTGGTCCTGTTGTTATGAACGCTCCTCCATTTCTCTCAACGACTTGGTTCCCTCCAGACCAGAGGGCCACAGCCACCGCTGTTGCATCCTTGTTCAATTACTTTGGTGCAGCTTGTGCATTTTTGGTAGGCCCTTTGATAGTTCCAGCACCCAATGGTACCACGTCACTTTTTACTGCCTCCAGCCATCATACTGATTTTATAAAGGATCGTATTCAAACTCTATTATATGCAGGTGAATAATATAAACTTCTTTTAAAAAGTCTCTTTCCTTGTTCATCTTTCATTGCCTAAATACCTAGAGATATATGCAGTATATTTTGACAATGCTGTCACCCTGAGATTATTTTGTCCTGTTTTTTATTTGAAGAGAGGTTGTAAGGCAGAAGTTTCAAGCTGTCTCTAAGAAAGTAAACACTTTGTGAGACCTTGGGTTTTATTTTTACAGCCTGAATGAGTGTGGCCAGATCTCTCAGATCTAGATATCTGGGTTTTGGTTTCTTCAGTAACATGAGAAGCCTTTTGGGGTCTCAAAAGAGTTAGAAGCTTCAGTGAATGACTCCTAGCTGCTACTTTCTGTGAATTTTCTCTTGATATTTTTCTTTCCTGGATTGGAGAACTGCACATGAGAATTTGTCTGAATTTGCCTTTTGCCAAGGTGTGTGCTTATGGGATGTTACTATAATGGAACAGTTAATTAGTAATAGGTACTGTATCTATTATTTGGTTAAATTTTCCAGTAGTCGTTATCCTAAATTCCTCTTCTGTTTGTATTTTAATTGTCGAGAGAAGTTATGCTGAAGAGCTCCTTAAGAGTTAATCCAAGTGCACAAGTTTGAACTAAGAAATAGCGTGTAATTATTCAATTCTGTGGACAAATTCAAGAAGGTATAGTTGTTCTGAGAGTGAAAGTTCAGAAAGATAGGTAGATAGTGAGAAAATGTACCTCATGAGTGGAAGAGTTGAGACCAAGGGGACGCTTAGCAAAAAATCCACTGGTGACACAAGGGACAGCTTTTCCACATGGAGTTGTCAGAACCTGGAGCATGCTGCCTGCGAGTCTGGTGGAAACTGATTCGTTTATGGGAAGTGGGAATATACCAGTCAAGTGAAGTTGATTGTAGAATTATTAAAATACAGGAGGAAACCATTCATCCCATCTCTGCACTGAGTCTCTAAATGTTGAAGATGAGCCATAATCTGACTAAATTGTGGAGCACATTCACCAAAGCATGTGCTCAACTTCCTGTTTCTTATGTTGTTTTTGCAGGCTTGGTATTGCTTTTTGACCTCAATTTTTTTTCTGCCTCCTCCTATAAGATATTCTCGTATTTTGTAAATTATTGCCTTCTCTTAGCTCATGTACAAGTAGTAGTATAATTGTACAAATAAATACAGGTGCTCAGGTCTTCTGGCACACTAAGGATTTTTTAAACAAATTAATTGCCTGTCTAATAGGCTCATGCTGTTTTGTTCGTGGGTTTCTTGTTGATTAGTTTGTACGCTCGACTGACTGAATACATTTCTGGATCACAAGATGTGTCACTTAGTGGATAAAACTTCAGATTTTCTTAGCTGTAGTTATGTAGTGATACAGATCAGATCTAAACTGTGCAATCCTGATTGCAGGTGAAGAATTAACAACTCACTGCAGGAGAACGTTCTACAAATATCCCCATCCTCAGTAATGGGGAGCACAGCACGTCAGTGCAGAAACAAAGCTGAAGCATTTGCAACAATCTTCGCCCAGAAGTGCTGGGTTGAGTGATTCATGTTGATCTTCTCACGTGGTGGCTGACATCACAGTTAACAATTCTCTCAATTCACTCCAGTCGATATTAAATAGATTTGAAGGGACTAGAAAGTGCAGAAGTGTGGTCTTCATAACATTTTAGCAATAGTACTAAAGACACATGCTTCAGACCTAGCTGCACCCCTAGCCAAGTTGATCCAGCACACCTATAACACTGGCATCTACCCAGCAATAAGAAAAAATTGATCAGATGTATGCTGCCTGCAAAAGGCAGGACAAATCGGTGCAAAACGTAAGACCGAAACGTTTGCAACAATCATCAGCCAGAAGTACTGAATGAATGATCCATGTTGGCCTCCTCCAGAAGTCCCCAGTATTACAGACACCAGTCTTTTGCCAACTCGATTCACTTCACGTGATATCAAGAAACAGTTGGAGGCACTGGATACTGCAGAGGCTATGGGTGCTGACAACATTTTGGGCAATAGTAGTGAAGATTTGTGCTTCAGGACCTCCTGCACCCCTAGCCAAGCTGTTCCAGTACAACTGAAACACTGGCGTCTACCTGAGAATATGGAAAATTGCTTAGGTATGTGCTGTAAACAAAAAGTAGGACAAATCTAATGTGGCCAATTTTTTTGCCCCATCAGCCTACTCTCAATCATCAGCAAAGTGATGGAAGCGTTATCAACAGAGCTATCAAGCAGCATTTGGTTAGCAAGAACCTGCTCACACTCACTTTGGGCTCTGCCAAGACCACGCCGCTCCTGATCTTGATCCAAACAGACTGAATTCCAGTGGTGAAGTGAGAGTGGGTGCCATTAACATGAGGGCAGAATTGCTTATGATATCAAGGAATCCTCGCAAAAATCTGTTGATTGGATCGTATCTAGTAGAAAGGAAAATGGTTATGGTTGTTGGCAGTCAGTCATCTCAGTTCAAGGATATCACTGCAGGTGTTCCACAGGACTGGATTCCTAGGCCAAATCTCTTTCAGTTGCTTCATCAATGCTCTTCTTGTATCATAAAATCAGAAGTGAGGGTGTTTGGTGATGATAGCACCATGGTCAACATCACTTGCCACTTCATAGATACAGAAACATCCATGTTCAAAGCAGCAAAACTTGGACAACTTTTAGGGTTGGGTTCACCAGTGGTAAAATTTGCAACACTCCAATTCCAGGCAAAGGCCATCTCCAACAGGAGAACCTACCCATCTCCACTTGGCATTCAGGGGCATTACTATTCCTGAATTCCCCACTATCAACAACCTGGGATTACTGTTGACTAGAAACTGAACTGAATCAGTTGTACAGAGATTGTAGTGGCTGCAAGGGCAGGTTATAGACTAGGAATTCTGCAGCATGATTCATTTTCTGTCTTTTCAATGCCTGTCTATCATCTACAAGGCACAATTAAGTAGTTTGATGGAATACTTTCTACTTAGCTGGATGGATGCAGCTTCAGAGGTACTCAAGCCTGAAGTTGTTGGCTTGCTCATCAAGCTGGCTGGTTATTGTACAGATGTTTCATTTATATGATCCGGTCTGTTAAGTTGGGTTCTGTCATTTCCAGTTCTGTTCTGCATGGGTTTGTATATGGGGTCTAATTCCACATGTTTGTTGATTACATTATGGGTTGAAAGCCAGGCTTTTAGGAACTCTTGTGTGTGTCTGTGGTTGGCTTGAGCTAGGATGGTCACGTTGTCCCAGTTAAATTGATGGCCCTCATTATCCAAGTACACTGAGATACCTAGCATGGTGACGAAACATCTGTATGATAACCAGCCAGCTCAGCGAGCAAGCTAACAACCTCATCCACAACTCAGGCTACGAATCTTCACCAGAACCTTGAAGCACTCAAGCCTGCCACTGTCTTCTCAATTGGCACCCTAACCACCCACCTTCAACATTCACCCTCTTCGCCAATGATATACTGTGGCAACACTGCGTACCAACTACAAGATTCGTTGCAGCTACTCAAAGGTTGCTTCGACAGTACTTTCCGATGCTGGAAACCTTACCTGCTGGAAAGACAAGGGCAGCAGCCTGTCTGGGATCCACCATCACTTGTGTGTTCCCCTCCAACTCAGTCACAATTTTGACTTGGAACTGTATCATTGCTCCATCACTTTTGGGATGTCGAAATCTGGAACTCGCTTCCAAACAACACTGTGGACGTCCCTCGACCCCTTAGACTGCAGCAGTTCAAGAAGGCAGCTCAGTACCATCTTCTCAAGGCCAGTTATTGATGGGTAATAAAGCTAGCCTAGCCAGTGAAGCCCACATTCCAAGAATAAATATAAACCAACATACAGTTGTGCACAAATAAAGTGGAAAGTCACTGCCTAATCTTCAAATAATTTAAGGTTAAGTCAGAACATTTAGTTAACATTCAGCTGTGTGATTGTTCCCAAAACTTACAGCTCCTCTTCTTTGTACTTGAGTCTGAGCCTTCTATAATTTTAAACACCTCAATTATATCACATTGTTCACGGAGGCAGTTTCAAGCAACTGCTTGCTGCTGCCAATTACTGACTCATGGGCTACAAGACAGCCTTTTTCGTGAAACATTCAGTTTCTCTATTATATATTCCTACTACAATTTACTTCAGTCTCCTCTCACTTCTATCTTTTGTGATCTTGTAATGGATTTTGTTAATCCATGCCCTATGACCAAACTTTCCCTTACAAAGCCCATTTTTACTTCAGTCATCATCAGAGTAGTTATTCTGTACAAATTTGTATAATTTAGTTAATATGAATGTGCTGCTTTAGTGGACAGGCTCTTGAATTCAGCTTGGCAACCACATCTTTTCCCTTTGAATCAATTGTGGTATGCCCTGATTTCATCATGCTGTTTTCAAATGTTAAAATGTTCTTTTGTGTTGTCTTTTACAATGTTGCAGCTTCTATAAAGCTGTCACATTTTTGAAAGCGATGCAATAGTTCATTGCTACACTTTTACGTGATGCCAAAAATTGCACTCCTGAAATTCTAATGGGGGAAATTTAAGCAAGTGATTAACATGCCAGTTTTAAATGTCCACTTTTGCAGATGGAGAATCACAGCTGAAATGTTATTCACTTAAACTAAATCTTTCTAGTCAGCAATTACAATTCCAGACAGATTGCCTTTCTCCTTTACATTCCTAACTCTAACTCCGATGCTTAAGGGGCAAGTGCAGAAGATGACATTTATTGCGAAGACTAATTGCTTCTACAACCCCATGCAATGAATTCTGCTGAAAATAGATGATTGTTGAGGCTTGGTTTCTATTGCAATGGATTCCTCACCCTACCTACCTTTGTGCTTATGTCTGACACTTAAGATAATCAAATTAAATTAGTGGGAAGATGAGGGGTAATGATTTTACAACTGGTTCAAACTTCCTCTTTAATGAGAGGGACATTCCTTTAAAACAGCTTTATTTTGTAAAAATGTTATCGCCAGTAAGTTGTAACAACATTCATCTTTGTTGTCAAATAATTTCCTACCATTCGAGAAGAGGCCTCTGTTGTGTTCTAAAGAGATGGAAAACACTTGATTCTCAAGTAACAGATTGCTGCAAGACGAGACAGAAGTCATTTATGGAGGGTGTGTCGACAAGTTTGTATTCTTGAGAAAGTAAATCCACAAGGGTATCTTGCCTGCCAATTTAATGCAGTGTGATTGGATAAATCAGCCTATTTAAAGTATTTTGGTCATCAATTTTATGATTTTAGTTAATGTAGTTCATGACTAAGCAGTTAAGTTACTACTACAGCTTAAGTACCAAGGATCCATTTTAACAAAAAAGGAAGAAGGGGATACTTTCTAAAGCAGTGGAATGCTAACAGTGTGGCCAACGTGATGCTAAAATTCCTGGTCTAATTTGGATTCTATGAGAATTAATTTCTGCAGCCAGTGTATGTCTTGTCACGTTGACCTTTTTTTCTTAACCTCTTTCAGAATTTGGTGTGACTGCTTTGCTGTTGATTGTTGTGATAGCCTACTTCCCATCTCACCCTCCTCTTCCACCCAGTATAGCTGCTGCAAGCCAGAGGCTCAATTACAGAAGCAGTATCTACAGACTCCTTGGGTGAGTTTATCCTGAATAATTTTGAGTATTTTATGTTCTGGCATAGAGGTCTATCTGCAAAAAAATAGTTACTAGATCTTGTGAACATCTTGTTGCTCATCAAAGCTTTTGTAGTACAGAGTGATCTCTGATGACGGCTTTGTGCCATGATTGAAATGTTGAGTAACTTTATTCACAAACCATTACCAATGGCTGAACAAAATTGTTACTTTTCAGGAACCTGTGAGCATCTCTAAAGTATCCCATGTCAGATATTTTCTGAACTTGCTACTAGGACTACACTGTTAATCAGTCTTGAAGATTGTTGTTGATTAATAAAATTGACACCGAAACTTACTTTGTTGTTGAATCCAGGATCGCTGGGTTGAAGTTGGATATGAGTTTCTTTGCAATTTCCCTTTTGTCCTTCAGTCTATATAAACATTGTGTTTATCGTGTACAGCACCAGATATCATCAATAATACCAATGTCTCCTGTTCTTGTTGATTGACGCTTTAAGGACTAAACTTATGAATTGAACTCAATGTATTAAATGCAATCCTAGAAGATGGTAAATGTTCTTGCTGATTTTGCAACCTTTTATTTCTTTACTGGTGTAATCTCTTGTGATTACCAGTAATGAGAGTTCCTTTCTCTTAGAGGATCATGCGTTCAAACGTGACTTCACAGCTTGATTGCATCATTCAATCTAATACTTGAAGATTTAAGAAATAGGGATTAAGCCATTCTTCCAGTCTCGCCTGTCCCCAGAACCCTTAACATCCTTCTAAATCATCAACCTAATTTAACTTTGAATGTATTCAATAATCCAGTCTGTACCTCTGATTCCTATTGAAAAGTGTTCCAGAGACTAACAGCATTCTTAGAGAAGAAAGTCCTCCATAACCCCATCTAAAATGAGAAACCTTAACCTTTAAATTGTGTCTCATAGTTCTAGACTTACCCACATAAGATTAAGCATCCTCTTGGCATCTATCCCATAAAGTCCTTTCAGAATCTTTCCATCTTTAAGTAAAATTACTTCATATCTTTGGACTCTACTCGGTGAAGATCCAACCTGCTTAACCTTTCCTCATAGGTTAACCCCAAGTATAATTCTTGGCGAATATTGCTGATTTTCAGATGACCTGTGCTTTTCTGCTTTTTCTGGCATTTTAAGTAAAAGCTTAGGATCCTATGGCATTATTCAGGATACCATGAGAATAATGTTCTGCAAATTTGATTGATTCCTGATCGATCATACAAAATTTTTTAATAAAGCCTGACTCTTCACTTTGTGGGATCTTGTATCTTAGTCAAGAATAGTTGTTCTGTGGGCCAGCTATTAATTATAGCATTTCAGAGTAATTCTTTGTGTATGAAATGTTGAGCTAGAATAAGGCACTAAGTTAAAGCAAGTCTGTCGTTTTGAGTTCTTTCAGACTACTACTTATTAAGCATCTACCCTATGACCAGAGGGCATAACCTCCAGGTTAGGGATCACCCTGTGGAATTCTTTACCTCAGAGGGCCGTCAAAGCTGGGTCATTAAGTATGTTCAAGGGTGAGAAAGACATATATTTAATTCATGAGGGAATCAAGAGTTGTGAGGATAAGGTAGGAAAGTGGAGTAGAGGATTATCAGCTAAAATCATGATCTCATTGAATGGTGGAGCAAACTCAATAGGCCAAATGGCCTACTTCTGCTCTTGCATTTTGATTTGGTTTGATTTATTGTCACGTGAGCCTAAGTACTGTAAAAAGCTTTGTTTGCGAGCAGTACAGGCAGATCGTGGTAAGCAAGGACGTACAGATCATAGGGTGAAAAATACTTGGACAGAGACGTGCATGAAACAAGATCAATGTTATTTGATTTTGATTTTATTATCATGTGTACCGAAATACAGTGAAAAGCTGTGTTTACGAGCAGATCACAACAAGCAATGGATGTACTGATCAAAAAGACTTAGAGGCATACAGGTTACATTGCAGGTTACATTATTTGAAGCTAGAGTCCGTTCAACAGTCTGATAATGGCTGGTAAGAAGCTGTTCTTGAACCTGCTTGTGCGTGTGTTTAGGCTTCTGTATCTTCTGCCTGACGGAAGAGGTTGAAGGAGATCATTACCAGGGTGCAATGGGTCTTTGATGATATTGCCGCCTTTCCGCGGCAGCGAGCCGTGTAAATGGAGTCCATGGATGGAAGGTTGGCTTCCGTGATGGTCTGGGCTGTGCACACCCCCTTCTGTAGTTTCTTACGGTCTTGGGCAGAGCAGTTGCCATACCAGACCGTTATGTACCTGGACCAGTATGCTTTCAATGGGGCATTCATAGAAGTTGGTGAGGGACCTTATGTCCATGCCAAATTTCCTGAGCCGCCTGAGGAAAAGAGGCGTTGTTGTGCCTTATTGACTGTCGCAGTTACGTGGAAGTCCAGAGTAGTTGGTTGGTTATTGTCACTCTGAGGAACTTGATGCTCTTCACTCTCTCAACCTCAGTTCTGTTGATGTAGATGGGGCGTGTTCTCCTCCTTTCTTTGTGAAGTTGATGATCAGTTCTTTAGTTTTGCTGACAATGAGACACAGATTGTTTTCATTGCACCACATCACCAAGCCCTCTATCTCCCTTCTGTATTTTGACTCAACGTTGTTAGATATTAGTCCCACTACAGTGGTGTCATCAACGAACTTGTAGATGGTGTTCGATCGGAATTTAACAGCACGGTTGTTGGTGTACAGGTAGTACAGTCGGGGGCTGAGGACATATCCTTGGGGGGGGCTCCAGTTTTGAGTGGTATTATGAAAGAGGTGCAGTTAACTATCTTCACTGATTGTGCCCTGTGGGTCAGAAAGCTGAGGATCCAGCTGCAGAGGGCAGAGCCGAGATCAAGGTCATGCAGTTTTGACATCAGTCTGGAGGAGACATTGGTGTTGTAGAGTCCATTCATCAGTCTAATAAAGGCAGGAAAGAAGCTGTTCTTGAACCTTTTGGTGCATGTTCAGGCTTCTGTATCTTCTGCCTGACAGACGAGGTTTTAGGAGGGTATTACCAGTGTGGGATGGATCTTTGATGATTTTGGCCACCTTTCAGTAGCAATGAGAGATGTAAATGGAGTCCATGAATGAAAGGTTGGCTTCTGTGATGGTCTGGGCTGCACACACAAACTTCTGTAGTTTCTTAGGATCCTGGGCAGGACAGCTACCGTACCAGGCTGTTATGCACCCAGATAGTATGCTTTCTACGGTGCATCTGTAAAAGTTGGTGAGGGATCTTATGGACGTGGTGAATTTCCTGAGCTGTGTGAGGAAGAAGAGGCATTGTTGTGCCGCCTTGACTATCGCGTCTACATGGGAAGACTAGGACAGGCCCCTTCCTGTTTGTGATCTACATGCCTCCTCTTGGTGGCACCAGAAAGCTTAACATTTATTTTCTCATGCTGATGACACCCAGTGGTTCCTTACCGGTTGCTAAATTTATCAGCCTGCCTGTCTGACATCTAGTATTATATGAGCAGAAGTTTTCTTCAGTTTCTTTGGTCCCTGCTATAAACTCTGCTCACTATCGCATGACTCCACAATTGCATTGCTGCCCTGGGTTGTCTCCCACATTGTATAGTCCATAAATTTTAAGCGACCCAAAACTCTGCCTGTGTTCTTACTCATACCAAGTCCCATTTCCTATCCATCTCTGTGTTCACTCACCAATACTGGCTCCCATTCAAGCAAAATTTCCAACCTTGGCTCTCTCCCCACCTCCTCATCCCATCTGCTGCCATAGTGGAGGTCGGCTAATGGAGCACAGGCTGGCCATTAAACCTAGAGGTGTCTTAGTCTGAATGGCTCAGTAATATACTAGGCAGTGTGTTGAGGCATTGAGCCACTGGGTCTGTAGCTTTCTCTAGAATCATATCTGTATTTTATAGTCACGCAAGATGCTGTGTAAGTGGTTTGTGGTGACCCTCTGATTACATTTTGTTTATCGGCTGCTAAAATGTCATACAGAAGATAAAAGCCCAACCGACCTTGTGTAATATGAGGTGATTGTTGTATACAAGTTGATTCAGTGCCTCGAACCTGGCTTGAAAGTAATGTTGTAAATGTTCTTTTTGTCACTGTAGCAATTTCAGGTTTTTGATGATTGCATTGGCTTTTGCTGTGCCTCTGGGGATATTAGCAGGCTGGTCAGGAGTCTTAGACGTAATTCTAACACCACTGAAGGTGAGCCAGGTAAGAGAGTTTTGTTTTGTCCTTTGATCCAAAGGTCGTTGTCTAAAACCATTCCAGCGTAACCAATTCCTACAAAGCATAGGTACCACTCTTTAACCTCATGTGCCCAGGTCAGCTTGCAGACTGATCTAGAGTATTACTTCAGGATTGCCTTCATTGTTCTCTCACTTCATTTCAGCATCTGAATTTAAGGACTTTCTCATTTTTGCAGACCTTCAAATCCTAAGTAGGTCAGTAAATAGGTGAATGATTCTTTAAAGAAAATCTCTAGTGCTGTGGGATGTAACCTTATAGGCTTATAGAACACCAAGGGAGCAGGATCAGATATGATGGTCAGTCACCCAAAGTGAATTGACTTAAGAACTATATTTCCAGAAACCAGAGTGACATCCTGTGTTCTTTTCGAGTAGTCTCTAAGGTCCAGAGTTTCAAGAAGATCTAAAGATAGATTTGTATCTAATATTTCAGGTAAATACGTGACGGGGAAAGAAATTCAGCAGAGTCTAGTTGAATAGATCTTCTAAAGTGGTATACATGTGTGTGACTGAATGATCTCTATACTGTATAATTTTATGATTTTATACTTGAGCAGCAGGTACCTTTTCAACAAGATCACGATATTTAATTGTTGAACCTAAAACTTATTGACTCCCTTAAAACAAGTTTGAGATGTATGTATAACTTTTTTTTTAAAAGTTGGTGGAAAGCATTATTAATGTTTCAACTTCTGTTTAGGTTGATGCTGGTTGGATTGGTTTTTGGTCAACAATTGGTGGCTGTACTGTTGGAATATTGATTGCAAGGTCAGTCTGATTATTGTTTATCCATCCAAGAGTTTTAACTTTTGATGTGCATATTTTAGCCATACATCCAAGCATAGATTTTCTGCCAAGTTTCACACTCAAACTATGTTTTCAATGGTTGGTGTGAGCGTAGTTTACAAGGATGCTGTAATTTGGAAGGACAACAGGTTTAATTGTATTTTTCGAATGTTTCACAGTCCAAAGGAAGATAACTATTAATGTACTGCTGTTGAAGTATTCAGTATTGGATGCATGTTCCTGAAATTTTTCTGATAACAAGATCCCTTTACATTCTGAGGCCAGTAAAAACCCTTTAGACATGGGATGTAATGCAAATTTAACAAGGAATGAATTTTGGTTAAAAAAGTGATTTGATTAGTCTTTCAGATGAATGGGTTAGCTAGGCGATAATGTTTTATTCTTCAGATCCAATCCCTTTTGAGTCTTGACATTTTTTTAAAAAATTGTTCAGGGGATGTGGATTCCATAGGAATTGGCAATAAATGGTTTTGTCTAATTGTCCTTGAGAGGTTGGTGGTGAACTGCTCTCTTGAACCCTGTAATCTGTGTGGTCAAGATACACTGTTTGTCCCGTCAAAGAAAGGGTCCCAGGGGCTAGAAATCACAGGTTTGAATGGTGACAGAATCGTAGCGTCACACAGCATAGGAAGAGGCCCTTTGGCCCACCTTGTCTATGCTGACCAGCAAACACCTACTATGCCCTGGCATTTAAGTGCTCATCAAGATGCTTCTTAAATGTTGAGAGTATCTCCCTCCACCAACCTCTCAGGCAGAACGTTCCATATTTCTACCACCCTCTGGATGAAAAAATGCTTCCTCTGAGCTCCTCTAAACCGTTTTACTCACCTTAAACTTAAGCTCTCTTGTCTTAGAGACATCAGCCGTGGGAAAGAGATCCTCAGGAGCTGTCCTGTTCATGCCCTTCATAATTTTGTATAACTCCATCAGATCCTCCATTCAGCCTCCTCTGCTCCAAAGAAAACAAATCCATCCTGTCTGACCTCATAACTGAGACTTTTTTTCATCCCAGGCAATATCCAGGTGAATCTCCATCGCACCCTGTCCGGTGCGGTCACATCCTTCCAATAGTGTGGCAACCAGAACTGCACACAGTGTTCCATCTGTAGCCTAATCAATGTTTTATGAAGTTAGAACAAGACTTCCTTGCTTCTATATTCTATGTCCCAGCTAGGAATGCACTTATACTGCCTTCACCTTGTCTACCTGTGCTGACAGCTTCATGGATCTCCAGACTTGTACACCAAGGTCCCTTTGTTCCTCAGTACGCCCTAAGGACCTACAATACAATGTATATAACCTTCCCTTATTAAACCTCCCAAAATGCATTACTTCACATTATCAGGATTAGATTCCATTTGCTATTGCTGTGCACAGTTTACCAGCTGTTCAATATCAGACTGTAGCCTGAGATGATCATCCTCACTATCAATGACACCACCAATTTTCGTGTCATCTGCAAGTTTATTAATTATACCTTCTACAGTCACATCCAAGTCGTTACTGTCCGTAATAAACAATGGGGGTCCCAGCACCCAACCCTATGGTACACTAATTAAAAACCAAATGAACTGCGAATGCTGTAAACCAATAAGAAAGAGGTTGCTGGAAAAGCTCAGCCGGTCTGGCAGCATCTGTTCTGAGAAAGGGTCACTGGACCCGAAACGTTAACTCTGATTTCTCTGCACAGATACTGCCAGACCTGCTGAGCTTTCCAGCAACTTCTGTTTTTGTCCCTGTGGTGCAATATTGGTCACAAGCTTCCAATTACAAAAACAACTGTCCATTATCGCCCTTTACGTCCTATTTATAAGCCAACTTTGGATCCAGTTTGCCGAGTTGCCTCGGATCCTATGGGGCTCTTATCTTTTGGTCCAGTCTTGCATGTGGAAAGCTCTGCTGAAACATGACTGTCCTGATAGGTTAATGTTTTTTTCCCTCCTTCCCCAATTGTGCCTCATCTGCTAACTGATTCCAGCACTTGCTGTTTTTACTTATAATTGCATAGTGACTTTCATGTTCTCAGATGTCCCAAAGTTATTTACAGCTTATGAAGTATGTTTGAGGTGCCATCATTGTTCTGATGTAGGAAAGCTATCCCACTCTTTATTACGAGCAACAATTGGAGACCACTTCTTTAGAGGAATTCCTGCCTACCCCTTAGCCAAGTGATCTCACACATACTTAGTTAATCTTCAGATTTCTAACAGGAGAAGAAATTATGGGGCCTCTTGCAGAAATGTTCATCTCGAAATACAGGTGAGGTGCTGAATGATTGGAGAGTGGCTAATGTGCTTTTGTTTAAGAAGGGATGTAAGCAGAAGCCTGGGAACTATAGACCTGTGAGTCTGACTTTGGTGGGTAAATTGTTGAGGGTGATTCTGAAAGATAGGATTTATATGCATTTGGAGAGACAAGGAATGATTAGGGATAGTCAGCATGGTTTTGTGCAAGGAAAATTGTGTCTCTCAAACTTGAGTTTTTGAGAAAGTAATCAAGAAGATTGACGAGGGCAGAGCGGTAGACGTTGTTTACTAGGAGGTCAGTAAAGCTTTTGACAAAGTTCCACATGGTAGACTAATTTGTAAAGTTAAATTGCATGGGATTCAGTGTGAGCTTGCCAATTAGATTCAAAATTGGCTTAATGACAGGAAACAGTGATGGTGGAGGGTTGTTTTTCGGATTGGAGACCTGTTACCAGTGGTGTTCCGCATGAATCGGTGCTGGGTCCACTTTTGTTTGTCGTTTATATAAATGATTGAAATGAGAATGTAGAAAGCATGTTTATTTGGTTTGCGGATGACACCAAAATTGGTGGTATAGTGGAAAGTGAAGAAGGTTATCTAAGATTACAAAGAGATCATGGTCAGTTGAGTCAATGGATTGAAGAGTGGCAAATGGAATTTAATTTGGATAAATGTGACGTGTTGCATTTTGGTGAAACAAAGACAGGACTTACATAATTAAAAGTAGGGGTGTTGGGCAGTGTTGTAGAGCAGAGACCTAGGGGTTCGGGTACATAATTCTTTGAAGTTTGCATCATATACAGATAAGGTGGTTAAGAAGGGATTTAGCTTGTTTGCCTTTATTGCTCAGACCTTTGAATATAAGAGTTAGCACATTGTTGAGATTGTACAGGATGTTGTTGAGGCCTTTTCTGGAGTACTGTATCCAGTTCTCGTCTCCCTGTTACAAGTAAGGATTTTATTAAGCTGGAGAGGGTTCAGAAGAGATTTACCTGGATGTTGCTGGCAATGGAGGGTTTGAGTTATAAGGAGTGGCTGGATAGGTAGGGATTTTTTTCACTGGAGCATAGGAGGTTGAGAGGTGACCGTATAGAGGTTAATAAAATCAAGGGCGTATAGAAAAGGTGAATGGCAGGTGCCTTTTCCTTAAGGTGGACGATTTCAAGGCAAGGGGGAGCATATTTTTAGGGTGAGACAGGAGAAAGATTTTAAAAAGGCATGAGAGGCAACTTTTTTACACACAGGTTCGCATGTGGAATGAACTTCCAGAGGAAGCAGTGGATGTGTACAACATTTAAAAGACATTTAGATAAGAACATGAATAGGAAGTGTTTGGTGGGATATAGGCCAAGTGCAGGTGAGCAGGACTAGTTTAGTTTGGGACTATGGTCAGCATTGACTAGTTGGACCAAAAGGTCTGTTTCTGTGCTGTATGTCACTGATTCTATCTGGAACCTGGTAGATGACCTATTGGCGCGTGGATCAGTGAAGGAGAAAGGTGAAGTCTGACCAGGATTTGTGCGCTTGATGAATAACCCAATTTTCAAAAGCAGAAAATCTAATTCCAATTTTTTTTTACTTCAATTGGTATATTTATATTAAATTATTTCATCAAATAGAGAAAAAAATTAATTGTATTGTCAAGTGTTTGTTAATGTATATTTAAATTGCATTGTACTTTTGGGAGAACCACATTGATACATTTTTTTGGCAAGGCTGTAATTATTGATAGTTATCTTCTTGAATATGCAATGTGAAAATTATCAACGAAATATCTTCATTTGTCCATAACCAGACATCACAAATTAATTTCCATTTATGTTCTGAGGCCCCAGTTTTCTGCCTTTGAACAAATATTGTGTGTATTTTATCTGTGGTACTTAATATTTTGATGAGGTCTTTTACTCTCCTGACTGTAAAACTCAAGTTTCTCTTAATTGTTCCCATAACTTATCCTTATTACACTTGGGATCAATCTTATTGCTCTTCTCTGTAGGCTCTTAACGTTTGTTTACTTTGTGCTTTGACTAATATTGAACTGTCATAATATCCCTGGCTCAGCTTTCAGTTTTGCTGGATGCTTTTAATCTTTAACCCAAGTTAGGTAGATATAATTTACAAGCAGCACGTTTCCAGTCACATCAAATCCTAAATCTTGTTCCCTTGCTACTTCTAATCTTTCAAAAGCCTTACAACTCTAATTTTAATCTGGTTTAGAACATAGAACAGTACAGCACAGTACAGGCCCTTCGGTCCACGATGTTGTGCCGGACTTTTACCCTAAACCTAAGGTCTACCGCTACCCTATACTATCATCCATATGCCTATCTAATAGCTGCTTAAATGCCCCTAATGGGGCCGACTCCACTACCCTCTCTGGCAATGCATTCTACGCCCCTACCACTCTCTGAGTAAAGAACCTACCTCTGATGTCTTCCCTATATCTACCTCCACTCACTTTAAAACTATGTCCCCTCGTAAAAGCTACCTCCACCCTACGAAAAAGTCTCTGGCTGTCTACTCTATCTGTACCTCTGATCATTTTGTACACCTCTATCAAGTCACCTCTCATCCTTCGTCGTTCTAAAGAGAAAAGCCCTAGCTCTCTCAACCTTTCCTCGTAAGACCTTCCCTCCATTCCAGGCAACATCCTGGTAAATCTCCTCTGCACCTTTTCTAACACTTCCACATCTTTCCTGTAATCAGGTGACCAGAACTGGACACAATACTCCAGATGTGGCCGAACCAGGCTTTTGTATAGCTGGAGCATAACTTCACGGCTCTTGAACTCAATCCCTCTATTAGTGAAAGCTAACGCACTGTACGCCTTCTTAACAACTCTATCCACTTGGGTGGCAGCTCTCGGGGAACTGTGAACATGAAACCCAAGATCCCTCTGCTCCTCCACACTGCCAAGAATCTTTCCGTTAACCCTGTATTCTGCTTTCAAGTTTGTCCTTCCAAAATGAATCACCTGACACTTTTCACTTTTCAAGTTTTGGTCAACATTCTTAATTCTGTTATTACCTAAGTACTGCACTTGTACTGCATGTAGTAGAAGTATAAATTTCTCAATTCTGTTTTACTATCATTGAATGACACAGGAAAAGGTCATTTTCCCCATTGATGCCCGATCAATCTTTTTCTCCACGTGTGCACAATAATATCCCATTTGCTGTTTACTCCCCATTCCCATTTGGTGAGCAGTTTCCCACAAAAGTTCCACTGACATTTGTGCATAATATGAATCGGTTATTAATATTCAATCTGAGTCTGAAGCATGGCAGATTGATGTTTCCTGCTCTAGAGTGTCTCACTCTGCTTCACTCCAGCATCAGGTTAGGCCATAATATCAGATCGAAGTACTCTGACAAAATCAGAAGAATTAGTAACGACACTGTAGCTGTGATGCAAATGTAGAAATATTCATTCAACTCTTTTATTTCTCTCCAAATAATTAGAAATGCTAATCGCAAACAATGTTGGAGCACAGAAGACTGTCCAAAGGAGCAAAAATGGATCTATACTTGAAGAGGAAAAGATTTTTAGGGTTTTGGTTGAGGAGCATGAGAAAATGGTTTTAATTGGATATCTCTGTCAAAGAGACAGCACAATGGGCTGAATACTGTATTGTATAATCATGGGCTCTTAAATGAAGAGGACATTTCTAGTGAAAACAAGAAGTGCTAGAGATCACAGCAGGTCAGGCAGCATCTATGGAGAGAAAGCAAGCTAACATTTTGTATCTAGATGACTCTTCATCTAAACTCAACGTTAGCTTGCTTTCTGTCCGTGGATGCTACCTGACCTGCTGTGATCCTCAGTGTTGTTTGTTTTCCGTTCTGATTTTAGCATCTGTAGTAATTTGCTCAGACATATCCAGTCTTTGAAAATGCACCAATTAAATTTGCAATGAGTTATAGGCTGCCGCAGTCACTTGGAGCTTGCTTGATTGGCTTGGGTGAGACAGAAGAAAGATGTTTTTTTTTTCCCAAAGCATCTCCCCGAAGAGTTCATTGCTAGGCTGAAGAGGTGGGCGGACAGCGTAGAGATCGTATCACCTACTGGTCAGGAAGTGCCTGAATGACTATTATTGACAAATTTTAACTCTTAAGTTATTGAATAATACGTAAAAGCATTTGCAGACCTATTTGGAAAGAGGCCAAGCGACTAATTTGGACAGCTGTTTCAAAGCCAACGCGGGTCATTTGGCTGATGGGCTTCCTGCTACGCTGTGGTTCTGTGAAGTAAATGAATAGTCTCCATCACCAGTGGTCTCTGGCACATGCTAGTCATCCTTGCTTGAAAACCTATTTTCTAACCCAGCTCTTTGATATGCTTCAACTCTAAGAAACTTCTGAAATTTTTCTATAAAGGGAGGAGAGAAAGGATCAGGTGAAGAATTTCTTCACCCAGAGAGTGGTGAGCCTGTGGGAATCTCTGCCACAAAAAGCAGTTGAGGCCACAACACCATGTTTTCAAGAAGGAGTTAGATATAGTTCTTAGAGCTAAAGGGATCAAAAGGGTATGGGGAAAAAGTGGGAACAGAGTGCTGAGTACGGTGAGCATATCGAATGCCGGAGTAGGCCCAAAGGGCTGAATACCCTATTCCAGTGCCTATTTTCCATGTTTCTGTGAATATTTTTGGATTATTGAAGATTCAGCTCACTCAGTAGAGCTGTCAGTGCTGATCCAGAGGCTGTGGCTTTTCCCCAAGACAGATCTCAGTACATAATTCTGATGCAATGCTGCGAGTATTTTAGACTGTTGAAGTCCTGTTCTTTCCAAGAAATGTTCAATCAATACCTCTCAGTTTCCATGCTAATTCGCGGAAGAGGAGTGAATCGGGTCATGGAGTTTGTCAAAGCCTGGAATATTTCTGAACTTTTTCAAAAAGGCCATAAGTCATTGAAAAGTCAAAAAAAAACTTAATTAAGACAGGGATGAAGCATTTCTGACTTTGTGCAGAATTCCAACCTTGTGTGATTTTTTTTTTTTTGATGTTCATTTCCCCTTTTCCCATCATGGTTTGCTTCACTTTGCCTATCTGGAATTCTTCCATGTTGTGGCCAGCATTCCAAACTCATAACTATATCTGATAGTTCATCTGTTTGTCTCTAGCAAGTTCTTCACTTAACACAAGTATTGCTTTTTAACATTTCCCTTATGCACAGTTTAATTCAGTTAATCCTAGAGAGACTCATCATTTGTTTGATATTACAGGTTTGCAGACTTCTTCAGGGGAGTGCTAAAACTCATCCTGCTCTTGCTGTTCTCCGGAGCCACTTTGTCATCTGCGTGGGTTGCCCTCACCTGCTTTAACAGTGTCACTCACCTGCCTATAACGCCAGGTACTTAATAAATTCCAATTTGCATTCCTGTAAATACCAAACTTCCTTTTATTAGCTTGTCTGAGCTGTGCCTTACTTTTCCAGATTTTAATCTTGCCTACTTTAAATTAAAGGAGTTTATGTTTGTTCTTTTATCCTATCCAAGTCATATTAAGTTTATCAAGTGCATTGATCATGGTTTCAGCTTGTTTGTTAGTAATTTCCCTTGCTGGATCATAGAGAAAGGCACACAATAAGTATCATCCACTGTATATTATCCTACACTACCTTAATGTGGTAGTAACGGTAGGTGTTTCTGTTTTCCCCTGCAGTCGCAGAAGGGGCGGCACCTGCCCATTTACTTCATTCCTCCTCACTTTCCAAGGCCCCAGATACACCTTCCAGTGAAGTAATGATTTACTTGCACTTCACTCAATCTAGTCCACTCATAAAATCCTTAGTGTGGGAACAGGCCACTTGGCCCATTGCGTCCACATCAACCCTCCAAAGAGCATCCCAGCCAGACCCACATTATCCCTGTAACCCTGTATTTCCTGTGGCTAGTCTACCCAGCCTGCACACCCTGAACACTACAGGCAATTTGTAATGGCTAATCCACCTAACCTGCACATCTTTGGACTGTGGCAGAAAACTAGAGCACCCAGAGGAAACCCACGGAGATACAGGGAAAAAGTGCAAACTCCACACAGACAGTCATTCGAGGGTGGAATTAAACCTTGTGCTAACCACTGAGCCACCATACCTACTGTATTTACTCCTCACAATGTTGTCTCTTCTACACTGGGGAGACGAAATGCAGACTTGGTAACTGCTTTGCAGAAAAACTGCGTTCCATCCACAAAAATGACCCTGAACTACCTGTTGCCTGTTATTTTGACACACCACCGTGTTCACTGGCCAACGTCTCTGTCACAGGCTTGCTGCAGTGCTCCAGCGAAGCTCAGTGCAAGCTGGAAGAACAGCACCTCAGTTTGTGCTTGGGGACCCTGTGGCCTTCTGTCTCCAAACCAATTTCAATAATTTTAGGGCCTGAGACCTTCTCCCATGTCCTTACCCCAAGCCCCACATGGCGTGGGCTATTAGCATAAACCACTCATTGTCAGCCTTTAATGCTCCCCATGAACAGCTGTTGATTCTCCCAGGCTGACCGTTACCCATTCATTTGTCTGCCCAACTGCTTTTCTATCTCTGGGCTCCAACTCCAACCATCATATACCTTTTACACCCTGCCTTCCTTCCCATCTTCAACATATATACCAACCTTTTCCTAGCTGCAGTCAGTTCTGAAGAAGGGTGATGGGACCTGCAGTGTTAACTCTGCTTTCTCTCTCCAGATGCTCCCAGATCTGCTGAGTTTTTCCAACACTGTTGTTATTTCTGATTTCCAGCATCCACAGTTCTTTGTTTTTTTTCCCTCATTTTCTCTCTTTCCTTTTCTGTGTTGAACTGACTTCCTTCTAACATGTTTAGGCTGTCTTTCTTTCCGTTCTCATCCCCTTCCAACTTGCATCACAACTGTTCATTTACAATAATGGAGAGGAAGAGAAATCCTTAGTGACACCACACTTCCTTCTCACTAACCTACTTGTCTTCCTCTGTGATAGCATGTTCAGATCACTCTATAATAAGTGCAGCCTGCTGGACTTCTAAAAATGGCTTTATTTGTCATTGCAGCAACATTATATACATCCTGCATATTAGTCGGCGTATTCATAACCAGCAGTGTTCCTTTCTTCTTTGAACTGCTGGTGGAGACTGTGTACCCAGTGCCTGAGGGGATAACCTGTGGATTTGTGACCTTCTTGAGTAATGTCTTCATGGGATTATTATTAATGTTCCTGGCATTTTACCATGCAGGTAATTTGAAAACTTTTCATTCGATGGATAATTTATTTGCAAACATATTGATGTTTTTTAGACATTAAACTGTGCTGTGTGCTATGACTAAATGCATATTAATTTTTTGTCACTTAAGATTTTGCCACTGTTAAGAGAATTGTTGACACAAGGAATTTAGAGTTACTAGCGAAATAAGTTATTTGTTTTTGCATTAAGCGTCCATATAATATTTCAGGTTTTCTGTCAACTTGCTGAATCCATTGAAGAATTCTTCTGTACTAACACTTGCAGGTACTTAAATACTATTCCTTCCCATGAAGGTTGTGGAATCTTGACTGAAACCTTGTGAAGAAATTGTAAATGGTCAGCAATGTAGCACACTTGTCCATAAACTTCCTTCCATTTGAAAGTAGCCACTTTGGGAACCATGCAATTACAGTCTGCATCAGTGGCCAGTGCAGCCTATAGCTAACTATGCTGTCAATCGGTTATTGTTGTGGATGTACAGTTGTATTCTCTACGTTCATAGGAACATAAGAACTAGGAGCAGGAGTAGGCCATCTGGCCCCTCGAGCCTGCCCCACCATTTAATTAGATCATGGCTGATCTTTTTGAGACTCAGCTCCACTCACCCGCCCACTCACTATAACCCTTAATTCCTTTACTGTTCAAAAATTTACCTAGCCTTGCCTTAAAAACATTCAACGAGGTAGCTTCAACCGCTTCACTGGGCAGGGAATTCCACAGATTCACAACCCTTTGGGTGAAGAAGTTCCTCCTCACCTCAGTCCTACATCTGCTTCCCTATATTTTGAGGCGACGCCCTCTAGTCCTAGTTTCACCTGCTAGTGGAAACAACCTCCCTGCCTCCACCACCTTATCTATTCCCTTCATAATCTTATATGTTTCTATAAGATCTCCCCTCATTCTTCTGAATTCCAATGAGTATAATCCCAGTCTACTCAGTCTCTCCTCATAATCCAACCCTTTCAACTCTGGAATCAACCGAGTGAATCTCCTCTGCACCCCCTCCAGTGCTAGTCTGTCTCTTCTCAAGTAAGGAGACCAAAACTGCACACAGTACTCCAGGTGTGGCCTTACCAGGACCCTATACAGCTGCAGCATAGCCTCCCTGTTTTTAAACTCCATCCCTCGAGCAATGGCAGACAAAATTCCATTTGCCTTTTTAATTACCTGCTGCACCTGCAATCCCACCTTCAGCGATTCATGCGCAAGGACATCCAAGTCCCTTTGCACAGCAGCGTGCTGCAATTTTTCACCATTTAAAACATAGTCCATTTTGCTGTTATTCCTACCAAAATGGATGACCTCACACTTATCAACATTGTACTCCATCTGCCAGACCTTTGCTCACTCGCTTAGACTATCTATATCCCTCTGCAGACTTTGTGTCTTCTGCGCACTTTGCTCGACCACTCATCTTAGTGTCATCTGCAAATTTTGACACACCACACTTAGTCCTCAACTCCAAATCATCTATGTAAATTGTAAACAATTGCAGTCCCAACACTGATCCCTGAGGCACACCACTAGTCACTGACCGCCAACCAGAAAAACACCCATTTACCCCTACTCTTTGCTTTCTACTGGTCAACGAATCCTCTATCCATGCCAATACATTACCTGTGATACTGTGCAACTTTATCTTATGTAGCAGCCTTTGGTGTGACACCTTGTCAAATGCCTTCTGGAAATCCAGATACACCACATCCACAGGTTCCCCATTGTCCACCATACAAGTAATGTCCTCAAAGAATTCCACCAAATTAGTTAAACATGACCTACCCTTCATGAACCCATGCTGGGTGTTCCCAATGGGACAACTTATATCCAGATGTCTTGCTATTTCTTCCTTAATGATAGATTCAAGCATTTTCCCCACTACCGAAGTTAAGCTAACTGGCCTATAGTTACCTGCTTTTTGTCTACTTCCATTTTTTAAACAGTGGCGTCACATTGGCTGTTTTCCAATCTGCGGGAACCACCCCAGAGTCCAGTGAATTTTGGTAAATAATTACTAGTGCATTTGCTAGTTCCCCCATCGCCTCTTTTAGTACCCTGGGATGCATTTCATCAGGGCCAGGAGACTTGTCGACCTTTAGCCCCATTAGCTTGCCCAGCACTGCCTCCTTAGTGATAATGATAGTTTCTAGGTCTTCACCTGCTATAACCTTCTTGCCATTAGTTTTCGGCATGTTATTTGTGCCTTCCACAGTGAAGACCGACACGAAATAACTGTTTAATGTCTCAGCTATTTCCTCATTCCCAGTTATTAAATTGGCCTTCTCATCCTCTAAAGGACCAATGTTTACCTTCGCCACTCTTTTATGATTTACATGTTTATAGAAACTTCTGCTGCCTGTTTTTATATTCTGAGCTAGTTTACTCTCATAATCTATCTTACTTTTCTTTATAACTTTTTTTGTGGCTTTCTGTTGGCCTTTAAAGATTTCCCAGTCTACTAGTTTCCCACTACTCTTTGCTTTTTTGTATGTGTTTTTTTTTCAATCTGATACTTTCCTTTATTTCCTTAGACATCCATGGCTGGCTCTATCTTTTCCTACAGTTCTTCCTTATCACTGGAATATACTTCTGCTGAGCACTGTGAAAAATCGTTTTGAAAGTCCTCCACTGTTGCTCAATTGACCCACCATAAAGTTTTTGCTCCCATTCTACCTTAGCTAACTCCTCCCTCATTCCTTCATAGTCTCCTTTGTTTAAGCACAGGACATAGGTACTGGATTTAACCTTCTCACACTCCATCTGTATTTTAAATTCGACTATACTGTGATCGCTCCTTCCGAGAGGATCCCTAACTGTGAGATCATTAATTATTCCTGTCTCATTACACAGGACTAGATCTAGGATAGCTTGCTCCCTCATAGGTTCCATTACATATTGTTCAAGGAAATTATCACGGATGCATTCTACAAACCCTTTCTCAAGGCTGCCATGACCGACCTGGTTTGACCAATCGATGTGTAGATTAAAATCCCCCATCATAATTGCTGTACCATTTTTACATGCATTAGCTATTTCTATGTTTATTGCCCGTCCCACCACGATGTCATTATTTGGTGGCCTATAGACCATACCTATCAGTGACTTCTTCTCCCTGCTATTCCTAATTTCCACCCAAATGGATTCAACATTTTGTTCAGTAGAACCTATATCATCTCTCACTACCGGCCTGATATCATCCTTAAAAATCAGAGCAACACCACCTCCCTTACCTTCCTGTCTATCCTTCCAAACAGTTTATACCCCTGGATATTTAACTCCCAGTCATGACCATCCTGTAACCATGTCTGTGTAATGGTCACTAAATCATACCCATTTGCCATGATTTGCACCGTCAACTCATCCACCTTGTTTCGAATGCTCCGAGCATTCAGATAAAGTGCCCTTATGCCAGTTTTTGCACCTTCTTTTTGGGTCCTATTACCTCCATTACTAACAGCTCTTGAGTTCTCTTTCCCTTTAACTTTTTCCTAATTTTCAATGGAGTTGAAGCTTTCTCGTCACCTGCTAAGCTGCTGCTTTGCCTTGCATTAATTGTTATTCTCCCTCTACGCTCACTTCTCCCTTTCTCCCCCCCCCCCACTTACTAGTTTAAAGTCCTATTAACCACCCTATTTACCCTTTTCGTCAGAACACTGGGCCCAGCCCTGTTCAGGTGGAGTCCATCCCAGCGGTATAGATCCCTCCTGTCCCAGAACTGATGCCAGTGCCCCATGAAAAGGAAACCCTCTTTCCTGCACCACACTTTTAGCCACGTGTTTACTTCCCTGATCCTCGCCTCCCTATACCAATTTGCACGTGGCTCGGGCAGCAATCCAGAGATTATGACCCATGAAGACCTGTTTTTTAATTTTGTTCCTAGCTTTTCATAATCCCGAAACAGGTCTTTTTTCCTAGTCCTGCCTATGTTGTTGGTGCCTACGTGGACCACAACAATTGGATCCTCCCCCTCCCTCTCTCGTATCCTCTCAAGCCGGTCAGAGATGTTTCGGACCCTGGCACTGGGCAGGCAACACACCATGCGGGATTCTCTATCCTGCTCGCAAAGGATCCTGTCCATCCCCCTGATGATGGAATCCCCTACAACTACAATCTGTCTTTTTGCTCCCCCCTCTCGAATGGCCTCCTGGACCATGGTGCCTTGGTCAGTTGACTCATCCTTCCTGCAGCCCTGTTCCTCATCCACGCAGGGAGCAATTGCCTCATACCTGTGGGACAATGTCAAGGGCTGCAGCTCCTGTGTCCCTCTACCTGCCCCTCTCGCAGTCACACACTGCTGTCCCTGCCCGCCGATCGAATTAACATTAGTTAATCTACCAGGTGTGACTGCCTCCTGGAACACAGCATCCAAGTATTTCTCCCCCTCCTGGATGTGCCGCAGTGTTTGGACTTCGGATTCCAGCTTGTCAATTTTGAGCCGGAGCTCCTCAAGCAGCCAACACTTGCTGCAGATGTGGTCACTGCCGTTCTCAATGGGATCAGCTGGCTCCCACATCATACAGCTACAACACATCACCTGGCCTGCCATCTCTACTTAGTTAATTATTTAAAATCAAATAGTTTTTTTTTAGTTTTGCAGTGTTCTCTGCACCAGTAAGTTTACTCCGTTTTATACTCAAACAGACTCCGGCTTTGCCTTCCAACCCGCTCCCAGAGGATTTGGCGTCTAGGTGACCACCCCGAAAGATAACAGAGATGAGGAAAAAAATGCAAATAGCTTACTTGCTCACCACACTTAGTCGTTGTTATTCGGTTAGAGGAGGTGGAAGGGTGGGAGACACTACGCGTGTAGTGTCTTGGGTATTAGTTAACTCCCAAATTTATTGGGTGGAAGCTTACCTTCCCAGGCTGCCCTCACGCTTTCTCCTGGACTCCCACCGCTGAAACAACTGAAAAGGTTTATCATACTGCTGATAAATCTATTTCCCTTGGGCATATGGAATTACTAGAAAGATTTTGTGAAAGGTAAGCACAAC